ACTTGTCTTTTTGACTTTTTATAGTTATAGACCCAAGGACCAGGTACTGTTAAGACCTTTCTTCGCCCACACTAAGGCTAAGGCTAATTAAACATGGTGTATTACTTTCCTAGAACTACTGTGACAAATTACCATAAATCTACCAGCTTAAAACAACAGAAATTTATTCTCACAGTTCCGGAGGCTAGAAGTCTGAAATCAGTGGTTTGGCAGGGCCTTGCTCCCTCTGAATGCTCTATGGAAGAATCCTTCCTTGTTTCTTCCTAGCTTCTGGTGGTTTCTGGTTATCCTTAGCTTTCCTTGGTATCATTCTAATCTTTGCCTCCGTTGTCCCAAGTCCTTTGCTCTTGTGTGTCTCTATCCTCCCCTCTTATTAGGACACTAGTCATTGGATTCAGGGCCTACTCTAATCCAGTGTGACCTCATCTTAACTTGATTACATCTGCAAAGACCCTATTTCCAAATATGGTCACATTCACAAGTACTAAGGGTTAGGATGTGAACATATCATTTGGGGGGATAAATTCAACCCACTATAGCTGGTTTCTTTTGGATTCTTTGGAGACCATTTTAAGATTCATGGTATGAAAGATTATGGCTATGAATTTCAAACGTACAATTTTAGATATATCCTATTTATCTTTCCTTTGGAATGAAGAGCCATGGGAATGGCTTAATTTAGAGTCTACTTAAGGTTTTGTAGTCCCTGCTTTTTTTTGCCAAGAGATTCCCAGATTATGCCTCTGTAGCTACTCTTACCAACTGGTACCTACTGGTTCAGATTAGTACTCCTTGGGAATTACAGAGCTATTAGGATTTTCATAGTACTTTTTAATTCTAATGTAATTTGTTATTGATTTTTTCAAAGTTATAAAGATGCTTCAGGCTTCAAAACATTTGTTGAAAGAGGAGAAATTGGTACACAGCTATCCCTATGACTGGAGGACTAAGAAACCAGTGGTTATTCGTGCCAGCAAGCAGTGGTTTGTAAATATCACGGATATCAAGGCTACAGCCAAGGTATACGAGACATCCTGTTGTGAGCATTGGGTTTTAATTCCCTCAGTATGAAAGGATTGCATGGGAGGTTGAAGTAGGATTTGGGGAATAGAAGGGATTGCTGCTGTTATGATTTGGTGATGTGATTTGGTTTCATAAAATTATAGTTTTAGATTTAGAAGGATCTTGGATTTCCATTCCTTCATTATACACATGTGGCTTAAAGAGGTTAAGTGACATGCCCCAATTTCCTGCCCAGTATAGTGAAAGTAATATAGAGTTAGGACAGATGTGAGTTCAGGAGGTGGTTAGCCTCTCAGAACCTCAGTTTCCTCATCTATATAAAGTTGATAATAATGCCTACCTCGTGGGGTAAGTGAATGAGGGTTCCAGACCAGTGTCTGGCACATAGTAAACATTTCAGTAAAACTCTTTAAAAACGCTTTGCTTCCTTAAGATTGAAATTGCAGTCCATTCAAAAAATTGTTGCTTTGACTTAACAAAGACTTTAAAATGGGTATTCTAAATATTAATATATATTTGAGCTCTTTCATTCACCACATAGTATATGTATCTGTGTGTGTGTGTGTGTGTGTGTGTGTGTGTGTGTGTGTGTATGTGTGTGTTGTAAACAACTTAATTCTGTTGAATGAAAGAGCTCAAATATATATTTGTTAGCCAGGCTGATAATGAAGATACTTTATGTTACTGCTTTCATCTTAACATATAACTGTAATCAGTTGGTTTATTTGTTGACTTGGCAACTTGAAGCCCTTGCCAAAGCCGGGCAAGCAGTTTACATTTTCTGTGTTTGTATAGAGTGGACAACTATCGTACGGACTGTTTTATTGTTTGCGTTCCTGTGAAGCCTGTTTTCCTTTGTTGTAAATGTTAAGTTTTGTAACTTCAGCTCTGCACAGATTTTTGATTGAAGAACATCTAAGTCTGATGCAGAATGCTGGAGCCTCATGTTTTGTTTCATTTTGGTTTTGATTCCTTCACAGATAATTTTCAGTTTCTCATTGCAGTAATAGAATAATGTACTGCATGCTTCTCCTACCCAAATTCAACATTAATCACCTTCTGGCCAATTTTATTTTGTCTGCACCCCTCCTACCACCTTCCTTTCACTCCCCACCCATTGGATTATTGTGAAGCAAATTTCAGGCCTTATGTCTTCATAAATATTTCAGTATGTATACCTGAAAGATAAAGACTATTTAAACATAATTCAAATGCCATTGTTACCATCTTATAAAAGTAATAGTTATTGCTTAACAAAATCAAATATCCAGTCTGTATTCATATTTCTTGGATTTTCAAACCAAGGGTGAATCAAATTGAATCGCATATGTTGCCATTCTTCCAGTAGGTTTCGAGGGAGGGGATTTCTTGTAGTTGAGGTTAAGTGAGGAAGATATTTAAATCGCTCTGCAAGCAGAAAAATGCTTAATTAATGGCTCGATTCTTAAAAATGAAGTTGACGTATTTGTCCTTTCTTGAGATTATTACCAAACATTTTTCTTATATAACTCATCTTTTGGTAACTGACAAATGAAATGAAATAAAAAACAACTTTTTGGGGGGCTGAAGGTAGAGGAAGTTCTTGCGAGAGAGCAAATAAATAGAAAGTGTGATTTTCAGAGTGTTTTCTGTGTTGTAAACCATAGTATGTGAAATTAGGTTATATTGCAGCCCTTGTTTATCAGCCTAAAACAGCTTATTTTTTAAGTAAGTACTTAAAAATTATTGTTGCAGTCATGTTTGAATGTATTTTAACTGTGGTTTAACTAAGTATAATACTTCTACTAACCCTAGTATTACCAGTTTTGATCTAGGGTGTTTGGAAATCAGTAGAAAATCTCTTGTCCCGTCCTCTAAAGGTGAAGTCTGTTCTCAGTGTTATTTATTAGATCCTTTGTGGCCTTCTTTTAACTTTGCTTCATTTACTCTGAAATCTGTTTTTTAGTTTAATTTTTTGGGTATGGGGAGGGAGACATGTAAATGACTATAAACATCCAAAATAAAGAGCTATGAGAATAAATAGTGGAAGTTGTGGAAAATATGTTCTGCTTACTCTCTCTGGATGTGATTTGTGCATCAATTACAGGAATTGTTAAAAAAAGTGAAATTTATTCCTGGATCAGCACTGAATGCCATGGTTGAAACGATGGACAGACGGCCGTATTGGTGTATATCAAGGCAAAGAGTTTGGGGTGTTCCAATCCCTGTGTTTCATCACAAGACAAAAGATGAATTCTTGATCAACAGGTAGAACTCTTTCTGCATTTCTTTCAGCTTTTTTTTTAAATGGAGACATTTTGTTTAAGTGTTACTTATTTTGAGAAAGAGAGAGAGAGAGAGAGAGCTAACAAGCCGGGGAGGGGCAGAGAGAGAGGGAGAGACAGAATCCCAAGCAGGCCCCGCAGTGTCGTCACAAAGCCCCATATGGGGCTCAGTTCCGTGAACCATGAGGTTGTGACTCAAGCCGAAATCAAGAGTCACATGCCCAACCATCCAGGCCACTCAGGTACCCCAATTTTTCCCCGCATTTTAACGTGAGCTGTGTTTTCTTCAAAAGTAGAAAATTAGTGGACTGTTGAGAACTGATATATGTTAAATCACATATTATAAAATAACAGTCTTTGGTGGGGGAATAAAATATAATTTCACAAAGATCCTTTCACGTGGTTGAAATTTTAACAGCTACAGTTTTTCAGTATAGATACTTAGAAGCAGAGGCTCTGATAGTTTTTCTGTGGGAATCCATGGTTTCTGACTGTGTGCCTAGCATTGTGCTAGAATCCAGTGTCAGGAATCCAAAGATGAACAGCGTTCAGGAGGGGATCCAAGTATGCAGTTTTTCTTTAGGAATCAGAGTCCCTCTCTTACTTCAGGCTACTGTTTGAATAGAAATGACATTGTAGGGGCGCCTGGGTGGCGCAGTCGGTTGGGCGTCCGACTTCAACCAGGTCACAATCTCACGGTCCGTGAGTTCGAGCCCCGCGTCGGGCTCTGGGCTGATGGCTCGGAGCCTGGAGCCTGTTTCCGATTCTGTGTCTCCCTCTCTCTCTGCCCCTCGCCCGTTCATGCTCTGTCTCTCTCTGTCCCAAAAATAAATAAATGTTGAAAAAAAAAATTTAAAAGAAATGACATTGTATAATGATTTATAGATCCTTTAAAATTTAAGAAACTGTTACATAGTTAAATGCACAAAACTAACGTTTATTTTAGTGATGATTACCTTCCCAACTGCTTCTTCTCTTTTCTTTAAGGTTTTTTCTTTTTTTTCTTTTGAGAAGATAATACATGGACATAGTCGACAGTGCAGGGTAGAGAAACTTAAACAGTGGAAAGATTTTTTTCCTAATCCACACACTAGACTTTTCTCGAGGCAGTGTATAGACTGACATTGTCCCTGCTTTTCATGAGGGAACAGTCTGGCTAGTTTATCTTCTAGTACATTAGGGAGGTTTTCGGTATTCAGTATAGCTTTTACTAACAGATGTGGACAGGGAAATAGTAATCATTCCTTTTAAGAATACATCCTAAGTTTTCCTTTTTTTTTTGAGTAATTTTTTAAAATCTATTTATTTTGAGAGAGACGGAGACAGTGCGAGTGGGGGAGAGACAGGGAGAGAGAGAGAGAATCCCAAGCAGGCTCTGGGCTGTCAGTGTGGAGCCTGACGTGGGGCTCGAACTCACAAACTGAGATCGTGACCCAAGCCAAAACCAAGAGTTGGATGCTCAGCTGACTGAGCCACTCAGGCACCCCTGAGTAATTTGTTTTAATCTGGTTAATGGAAATTTTACTAAGTTGTGTTTTAACATGAATGAAAAGTTTGAGCCCATTTTGATAAATATTTTCACATTTTATCATTTGAGGATCCAATAAGGTTTTTGAGGGCATGGAGGCCACTAAGTAATGATGGGGAGTTCGAGAGGTTGTAGACGTAGAATTGCATGTTTCTACTTTGGGGTTCATCAGAATTTTTGTAAAAAGTTCCTAGTTTTCATCGTCAATGTTATCAGTATTTCTTTAGGTGGTCCTTTTATGAATGCATGTGTTTCAGGGTTTTTTTTGAATGTTGATTAAAGTGGGTTTGTTTGTTTGTGTGTTTTAATCATCGATAGCCACATATTAGGTAGTTCTTAGTGTTTTTTGTGTAGAAGTTCTTTGTCAATTTGAAATATACATTCTGTCACTGTTTCATGGGGAACCTGACACCTTATGGCAACATGGCTCAGGGAAGAACTGCAGGTTCTGCCTTGGGCAAATATCGCCATAAAACAGCTCATTTGCTTTCTTCACAGAGGATGCGGCATTTGAGTAGGGCCTTGAGGATTAGGTAGGAAAGTATTTTGCAAGTGGAGGAATTAGCAGGAGCTGAGGGTGTGGAGCAGGGAAAGCATAGCACATGTATAGGAGCCATAATGGGACTGTCCGGTGTTGAGGGGGGTTTTAGAAAGTCAAGTGCTGAGAGAGGTTTGTGGGGGCAAATTGTAGTGAGTTTTGAATACTAGGTTAAGCAGTTTAAATTCTTAAATAGGCATGAGGAGTGAGAGTATATTTTAGGAAGAAAAGCTAGAGGTTGGAGGCCAGGAAGTCACTGTAAGACTTCGTCAGTATTATTACAGATTGGAGCCAAGGCTCTTTGGGCTAAATAGTGTTGCCCATGTTGTTCTTATAATTGAGAGCTTGGTCAGATGTAGACTGCTGATACCCTAATACCTTAAAGTTGACATAAGTTTACACAGGTATTATTTAAAATTCCACACTGTACAGTTTTCTTTTAAGGAATGTGTATAAGCCGTTGTCATTGTTCCTCGTTTTTTGGGGTTTTTTTAGTGTTTAGAGAACAAGATTTTTAGGGAATTTCCTTGAAGTGATGGAGGTGGACATATGTATATATTAGTAAGAAGAGGAAATTAGTTTATTTGACAATAATGACAATAAAACGGTACATAGGTCGATTGGTCACTAAGCCAGGTGAAATAAATGTGAGCTTTGTCAGAAAAACACAAGCAGATTTTCATCAGGTATTATTTATTTTCTGCTTACAGTCGATACATGCTTATGTTGCAGATTTTTTTCTGTGCATCTCCCATTGTGTTGCTTGCATCATATTAGTTGAATTCTGATTTTGAAGTAGAAGAGATATACAGAATATTGGCCTACAGAAATGACAGACAGACTTAGCCAAATTGTCTGTCAGTTCATAGGTCATTTTCCTGTACACCATTTCTGAGTGATGACCCAAGATTAATCTTCCTCCACTGTTGGTTCCTTGGTGTGACATTGCACTTAATGTAAGAAGATAGATGTTAATTCTTAATTACTTACTTGTAAGTAATTTTTTTAAGACCGCGTGAAGGCTTATCTTTTTCCCTCCTTAATCAAGTCAGAATCAAGTGACCACGATTTTCTGTCTTTCTTGGATAGATCTTTCTATTGTAGTGAGTTGGTAATCATCAAAAGTAACAGCATCTCCACTGGACATTGGTACACAGTCCACATGGAGTTGCTGTTACACTTGATAACCCCAGTAAGCATACCAGAACATTCCTTCTGCTTTTCTGGACCAAAGTCTGTAAGTTCAAGTCTTAAGTATACTTGTTTCACAGAAGAAAATCTTGATTGATTCACATTGCTAATAAGGTTAGAGACTAGTAGATTTGAAACTCTGATGTTTAACTTGGATTTGAATTAATGTTCTCATCTGCACTTCATATTCACATTTGTATTTGCTCAAGATATAATTGCGTTTCTGACCTTAACATCATTGATTTTTCTGAATCTGTAATAGAATGCCATTATAATTTAGGTAGAAATCTACTCCTAGTTAATAAAGACAAATACTTTTTAACATAATACAAAGGTAACATTTAGAAGCATTTGCTACCTAGGAAGGAAAAGAAGTTGTTAAATTTTGTTTATTTCAGGGGCGCCTGGGTGGTTCAGTCCATTGAGCTTCCGACTTCAGCTCAGGTCGTGATCTCACGGTTTGTGGGTTCGCGCCCCACGTTGGGCTGTGTGCTGACAGCTCAGAGCTTGGAGCCTGCTTCAGATTCTGGGTCTCCCTCTTTCTCCCCCTCCCCTGCTTGTGTTCTGTCTGTCTCTCTCTCTCTCTCTCTCAAAAATAAATAAACATTAAAAAAAATTTTTAAATTCTGTTTCAGATTATTGTATCAATTCACTATTAATACAATAATCTATGCATTTAGGAAATTTAGCCCTTGATTTCTAGAACCTATGAGAAATTTACTAGAAATAGTCAAGGAATTTACAGTTCACTTTGAGTGCTAGCTCTACCTCCCTCTTGCTCATATAACAATGACCATTTTGGTGAAAAAATTTTATAATCATTCAATTAAAAAATTCTCCAAAATTGTTTCCTGTCACCTATAATACATAAGTGTAGGATTAAATTAAAAATAGAATCCCCCCCTTCACATTTCACTGTGTTCTAGAATAAATTTATAAACTTAATAAATAAATTAGAAACATTTAGCCTCTTACCTCATTCTTATTCCAGTAACTTGCAGAAGAAGAGTTGTCTTATAGGCCTTAATATTGTTCCTTTAATAAAGACAAAGCACAGGAGACAGTGGAATGACAGCAGGTTTCTTCCTTGCTTAGTAATCCTAATGCTGCTTAATTTCTGATAATGTGCTAAATAAGCCTTCAGCACAGTCGATATCAAAGTTCAGAATGATTGGATGGTGTTTCAGTTGCTCATACAACCTAGTGGATTTTCACTGGTTGAAACCTAAGGAGGGACACGTAATACATGTGTTTAGATAAGGCCCTTGCATAAAGTACAAAGTTTTATGATGGATTTATTGCTTTATGAAATGCAGCATTAAAATGGAAGCATATATTATGTAGTGATAAGTGGTTTCACCCACTTTTATCAACAGTAATTTATACTGATCTTTAGGTTATAAGTTAACCACGTGTTTGTGTTAAGTATAGGATATTATTAACACAAGGGAAGAATTCTTAAATTTCCAAAGACAGATTTTGACTTTTCCTTGTATTTTTCCCTGAAGAATATTCACTATCACTAAGATACGTTTATTGTTTTTAAAACAAATATTGTTTAAAATTGTTTTAAAAACTCATTGAAGCATAATTTCAGTTTCATTATGAACAAACTATACTTCCAAAATATTTATCCTTAAATAAGAAGATGAACATCTCTTATACGAAGACAGGTATATAAGGGTGTCTCATATAGTTGATAATAAAGGAACATGGTGATAGAAAGAAATAATCTAAATTGGTTTTGGAAGACTGAGTATACAGCCATTAAAAATGCTGGCTTAGCTCTTAATGGTCGCCTGGTTCCCTCTGAATGAAAATCCAATCCGTGCAGCCCACCAAGGACATTGGACTGTTCTAGGTTTTTGCTACAGTATTCTAGTGACAATGACCACCTTTAAGCACTAGTGTAGCATTCACTTGTTTTGTTTTGTTTCCAAGTTATCCTTCCAGATTTGGTTTGAACTAATGTTAAATCTATCTTTATTTTACAATCTAGGATAGTTAACCTCAAGTCTGTAGGTTGCTAGGGTAGGTTTATTTTTGTTGAAAATTGTGTTTTTAAAACTCTCTGCCACAGTTTTTTAAGATTATTCAGAGACTCAGAGTACAAATCAAGAGAAAGTTCTTACTTTGTGGTACCAAATCCATGCACTTAAATTTTGATTTGTTTGGATTGTGAGGGTGTTGTCTTTGACGTCTGTATTCTTATCATAAATTTTGTTCAGTTTTTATCCCCGAGCTCCAGAATTGTCTTTAGCGTCTTTTCCTGTTTTCAAAAATACATGTAATATAGTGTTGTAAGATCTCGAGACGGAACTGAGTTGCAGAGCATAATGCTTATTAAAATATATTTGGTTCATGATATTCTTATATTTCATAATGTAGGGAAGCAAGTCTTGCTCTAAATACTAGTGAGATTTGCCCTATTATTGAGGCAGAGCTTCTTCTCTCCCTTTTTAAAACGTTTCATATTTCTGGGGAACCTGGGTGGCTTAGACTGTTAATCATCCAGCTTCGCTCAGGTCATGATCTCATGGCTCGTGAGTTTGAGCCCCGCGTCAGGCTCTGTGCTGACAGCTCAGTTTCTGAGTCTCCCTCTCTCTGCCCCTCCCCTGCACACACATTGTGTGTGTGTGTGTGTGTGTGTGTGTGTGTGTCTCTCTCTCTCAAAAATAAAACATTAAAAAATAAATAAAATAAAATGTTTCATATTTCTTTTGAATACATTGAAAAAATTATTCTTTGGTCCAGATTCATATGCATGTGTTATGAGGGAAAATATTGGTTTATTTTTTTAAAAGTGTGTAGTTTTACTTATGACAGCTTTTTTGAAATTAGATTTTAAAAACTGACTACTACTGGATTATTTTCATTAGTGTAGATGACATTGTGTGATTTTTTCATTTTTTTTTTATTTTTTTTTTATTTTTGGGACAGAGAGAGACAGAGCATGAACGGGGGAGGGGCAGAGAGAGGGAGACACAGAATCGGAAACAGGCTCCAGGCTCCGAGCCATCAGCCCAGAGCCTGACGCGGGGCTCGAACTCACGGACCGCGAGATCGTGACCTGGCTGAAGTCGGACGCTTAACCGACTGCGCCACCCAGGCGCCCCTCATTTTTAATAAGTATTAGGGAAACTAAAAGAAAAACAAAATCAAACTTTCCTCCTCACTGAAGCAAGAGGCTTATGAGTTTTTAAAAAAAGTATATTTGCAAATAAAGTGTATATAAGATGCTTCTTACACTGAAAAGTTAGATTATGTGAGCGAATTACTAATCTTTATAAGAAAATATAACAATTAAAACTATAATTTTAGACTAGAGATAGTTGACTAAACTTGGGGGGACTTTACAGTTGTCTTAATAACTTGTCTGCTCCAAAATGGGAATCTTTATTGTTTGGTATTTTTAGTTATAGTTCTAAAACCTCATTGAATTATCTATTTAGGGATATAAAAAAAGAACTTGTCGGTCACATTAGAGGTGAATTTGGTCTCCTAAAATGGATATGCGTCATCTATAATTATAAGGTTCATATGGCCTTCTTTCTGACAGCTGTTCCCAGTGTTCACAGAAACTGAAGCTCAGAAAAATAATATGATGTATTCCTATCAGTATCTAATAATTCATGGGTAGAATCCGGTCTTTGGACTTGGTGTGTGTTCTGTCAGCACACTAATCTCCTGGGACTGCCCTGTTCCCTCACTTCGTCTCCAGTTGAGGGTTTCATTACACATGGGTAATAAGACTCTTTGTTGCCTTTGCTTAGCAAGGCAAGAGAATAGAAGTGTGAATTCACAGGTACAGTGGTTGTCTTTGTAGATGAGTTAGAGAAGCTGAAGGGAGAAGTAAAAACAGAATCAAACCATGATTTAGGAGACAGTTTTAAGGCCTGGCATTACCGGTGTTACTTAGTTTAAAGGCTTATGACTTAAGGAACCCCGAGGCAGGGAACAGGGTTTATCTGTCAGGAGCTACTAAATATGTTTTTCTGTGAATCCAATTAGATAGTGCTTTAGGGTCACCTGGGTGGCTCAGTCGGTTGAGCATCCAACTTTGGCTCAGGTCATAATCACGGTTCGGGAGTTCGAGTCCCGCATCACGCTCTGTGCTGACAGCTCAGAGCTTGGAGCCTGTTTTGGATTCTGTGTCTCCCTCTCTCTCTGCCTCTCCCCCACTCAAACTCTGTGTGTGCGTGCGTGCATGTGTGTGTGTGTGTGTGTGTGTGTGTGTGTGTGTGTGTGTCAAAAATAAACTTTTAAAAAAAGTGCGTGTAAACTGCTTTGAAAAGTACAATGTGTGGTATATACATAAATGCTTTTATTTTAATATTAATCCTAATACGCTGTACCGTATTTCCTACGTTGATATGAAACTTGAACCATTTGCTTTTAGTTTTGTGTTATTTTGTAACCTATTTATTTCTAACAATTTTGAAACGGTTTTACTGTTTCATTTTACCATTTACCTAAAATTAGTCTAATAACATTGTAAAAGTAAGGGGTCAAAATGACACTCATGTTTAGAATCATTCTTTTTTATGAACATTTCAGAATTGGTATGAACATCATGTCTACTATAATTGGGTACGTGTAAATGTACTTTGCTAGTATCTCTTTAGAAAAATAACATTAGGTTATTTAGGTTTTCTTTTATAGTATGTTCACATTTTCTTAACTGTTAAAATGTTCTGTGCAAACTATATAAAAAAGTAATATGTAACTAAATATTGTCATATAACTAGGTATTGCACAAAGTTTTTATGGTCTCCTATCACAAAAGTTTATCTTTACTGTTAAAGTCCATCGAAAATGTATGACTAGAAGAAATATGGACTTGTGCCCGTTTTAACATTCTTGTTATTTGTAACTTCTTTAAAATGGATGCTGATAACATTCTACTTTTTCAGTCTATCCTTCCTAGCATACCAACTTAGGTATTTGAAATTTCAATTTTTTGAGCCTATCTAAATAATTTGTAATACCCATTGGATTTTTACTTTCATAATTTTTTAATAATTTAAAATAATTTAATAATTTTTTCATACACATCTGTGAATTTTCAGACCCAAAGAGGTAGATGATTTGCCCTTGCATAGTCATGATTAATAAGAATCAGATCCAGATTAAGAATGTAAAGCTTTTCAGGGCATTGAGTTAAATTAAGGGGGATCGGTTCATTTGCTTCAGGACTTCTCAGGATCCTTAATATGTTAATTCACAGCATAACTTACAAAGAGGGACACAGCATCAGAGTTGCCTAAATCTGTGTGATCACAGTGGACTATTTCGTGGTATGTCTGTGTTAACGTTAGGAGTTTTCCGTGTACCCCAAAGATGGTTTGGGAAATGCTGGCCTAAGTATATTTCCCAAACAGTATTCTGAAACCTGTCCTTATGTGAACCACCCCGAGTGAGGAACGGGTCAGGAATATAAAACCTCATGACTTCAGGGCACCTGGGTGGCTCTGTGGTTAAGGTCCAAGTCTTGATTTTTGACTTCGGTCAGGATCTCACAGTTCATGCATTTGAGTCCCGTGTTGGGCTCTGAGCTGACAGCCTGGAGCCTGGAGCCTGCTTCAGATTCTGTCTCTGTCTCTCTCTCCCTCTCTCTCTCTCTCTCTCTCTCTCTCTCTCTCTCCCTCCCCCACTTGTGCGCTCGCTCTCTTTCAAAAATAAATAAATAAACATTAAACAATTTTAAAGAATGTAAAGCTTTTCCCGTTCACTAGTCTTTCCATTTCCATTGACTCTCATGGGCCTGTAGTTAATTCTTAGTTACTAAGAATTAGTAACTAGTGGAATGTGGTGGAAATGAGCATAATTCAAAAGTTAGCTTTTGTATGTGTGTCTTAATCTGTAAATATTAATACGGATTTGTATCTTGGTGATAGGTTAACATAATTACTCTCTAAATTTACCTGACTTCACAAAATGAGTTTGAATAATAACTAACACTTATATAATACTTGTTAGTATGTGCCAGACGTTGTCCTAGGCATTTTATATATATAAGCTTAATTAATATCCTTAATAGCCATCTTGATGATATTGTTATCTGCATTTTAAAAACAGATACAGAAATGTTACGTGCTGTAGCCAAGGTCACATTAGGTAATAAGTGGAAGAGCCAGGAATGGAACCAAAGCTGTCTAGTTCTAAGGTCCATGCTCTTAACCATTACATGTACTCTGACCCATGGAAAGCAACTAGAGGAAGTTGTAACGTCAATAAAGCTGTGATAATAAATTAAAAGTATGTTACTGCTGTGAGAAAATGTAGTATAAATTTTCCCGAGTTTAGTTTTCAAAGAATTTATAACTGTGTGTCTTCCCAAAGATATGGTCAATTTCAGTTGATGTGCACTTACTGGCTTTTTACTGCATATTAGGCTCTGTGCTGCGTTTTTTGTGCATCATCTTCGTTTACATGGCATTCTGAGGGAGGTATCTCGGATCGTACAGTGTAAGTTCCATTAGTGCAGGAATCTTATCTGTCTTGTCAACTGCTATATTTCCAGTTCCTAGGACAGTCTCTAAGATACTGGAGGTTCTCAATAAATATTTTTGAATAAAATATTCTGTGGATAGGGGAAAATAACTATTCTGTTTTTCTTTTTTTCTTTTAGCTGTTTCTTATTTTTTAAATGTTCACTATTACCCTCTGTAGTTAATTGAACAGTTTTGCCTTTTCCCACCTAAAACAGCCAAACCACAGAGCATGTTATTAAACTAGTGGAACAACATGGCAGCGATGTCTGGTGGACTCATCCCCCTGAGCAGCTTCTTCCTCAGGAAGTCTTATCGCAGGTAAATTTCTGTGTGTATTTAACAACCTTCGTGTGCATTGCATGACTTAATGAAAACACAAGGGATTCTTGAGCGTTAAAAAGTACTTATGTCATTGTGTAAAGTTGATGAGTTCATTTCACTATAAATCAGGAGCCAGTGCAGTTTGAGAGTAGACGTTTTTGCCTAGCCATAGAAGCTTGGTGTTTAATATAGCAGTGGAGTATGAGGGTTATTTGTTTACTTATTGAGGGCCAAGATTGATTTTTAGCGGGTTTAGTTGACTAAGCAGATGTAGGTGTTGACTATGAGAGAGCGGTGCCTAACTTGGTACATCAGCGTTTTGTAGGATCTGCATTGGAGTTGACTGATTCCATCACACATGAACAGAATCCAAGTTAGGAGATCATTTCAAGAAGTGAAAACACTTTATGTTAGTAAGTGTAGAATCAAGTGGCCACAATCACTTTCACATACAAATGAGGCAGTTGTACTCAATTGCAAAATACTTAGAAATGTTTGAAATTTCATTTTAAAATGTGAATTTAATGGTTGTAAGCATTTGATTCTCTTATTTTTTTTTTAAGTTGATTTATTTTGCGAGAGAGTGGGGGAGGGGCAGAGAGAGTGGGGGAGAGAATTCCAAGTAGGCTCCTTGCTGTGTCCGCGTAAAGCACGAAGCGGGGCTTAATCTCATGAACCGTGAGATCGTGACCTGAGCCAAAATCAAGAGTTGGCTACTTAACTACCTGAGCCACCCTGACTCCCCATCCTTTTATTTTCTTAAGACTTTTTCTTTTTGCTTTTTTATTGTGTATATCGCTATCTTTGCATAATTAAAATGTTTTCACGTTATCTTACTAGGTCGGTGGTCCTGATGCCTTGGAGTATGTGCCTGGTCAGGATATCTTGGACATCTGGTTCGATAGTGGAACTTCATGGTCTTGTGTTCTTCCAGGTAATTTTAAATAATAGATTATATACCAGTCAAGCAGTTTTGAAAATACATAAAAGTTACTCAGAAGAAATCTATGATCTGGGAGTATTTTTTTTTATTTGGAAGAAAATCTCCTGCCATGATACGATTTTAGATCTGGAAGGGCTCTTGGAGATCATTTAATCCAATGATGTCTAAATTTGTTTGTTTTTCCAAATGAAATTTTATATAGACCCACAATACACAAGGTAGATAAAAACGGACATTTCTTCCTCCTCTCAACCAGCTCTTCTTGACGCACTTAGCAACCCAAGGCATTAGCTCTGTAACATTTAGAAGTCATTGAAACGGTCTGACTCCCATCATTTTTCAGAAGAGGAAATGAGATTAGATTAGAGCCAAATTAGGTGATGGTTACATAGCTTAGTTAGTCTCAGACCAGAAATCAGATACCCTGATCTCTGGTTCTTATTTTTCTTACACGAACTTGTCATTTCACAGCTCTTCCCCCCTCCACACAGGCAGCTGACTAATGTTACACTCACTCACAGGGCACACTGTGAGAAGGGAGAGACCTGGTGGGCAGTAGCAGGGAGAAGTAGGAGAAGGCACACATTGGAGGTTGTGTGTAGCTGCTTAAGAGGATATCCTTAAGCACACCACGCGAACACCAGAGGGAAAACAAAGAGCAAAGCCCATCATCACCGTGAGGTTAAAGGCAGGAACGAGGATGAATCAGATGCTTCTTCACATTGCTGCTAAGCGCCACCCTGGGCCCAAGAGATCTTGCTTTCTGGAGCGAGAGAATGTGGGAAAGTAACTTGTCTTTGCAGCTGGCCATTATTACGGGATTGAGAGGGATTGTCCCCAAGTGTGACTTGAGGTATCCTTTTGGTACTGGGCCTCACTATTGAGAGGACGTACATCTGATTCCTGGTAGGTAAATATGATCATTTGTCCCCTTCTAGTAGCCTAGGAAATTAATCCATGTAAATTCATGTTTCCTCTATATTACAGCTAAAATACAAATAGTAATTCATAATGACTATGTATAAATTACATATTAATAAAATCTTTTACAGTTTTTAATAATTTTCAGAATTATTATTTCGTAAGTTTCTCCCACCACACCTAAGAGAAAATACTGCAAGTTCGATTACTTTGTTTCCCTAAATTATACTGAAAACATAGGCAAGGACCACTACATAAGGTAGGTAGAAGTAGTGTTATAAATAGGGAGAAGAGTTCCGTATCTCCTACCACACTGGGGCAGCATCGTGAATTTCAGCAAAAGTGTGCCATGTGCAAAATCGTTTATATGATGTATTTCAAAGTTCATTAACTTTTTTGGCCTTGGTACGAATGGCTGCTTTGAGCGTTGTTGCAGTTTAATTTCAGAAGTGGTTTCACATTACTCCACACAGCAAGGTCGTGTTCTACTTAGAGACCTTGTAAAACTGCATGAAAGCTCGTTAAAACCCGTCTGTGCTGCTGCCAGTGGTGCTGATAAAAGTATAGTCACGTTCCTTCTAGTTGATGATGTTTTTAACTAAATACTTGGGAAAGAAATAGTTTATTAAATGAAGTTAGTGGTAGAATTACACCTAAGCAGTAGGTGTCATATTTAGATAATTAATTCGAAGAAGGAGAACTGATTTGTCATTTAAACTTGTATGTTGCCTGCATAGAGGCCGCCAGAACTTAAATAAGCTACCTTCACAGATAAATGCACAAGACTAATTTTAGACTGTAATTTCTCCTTTTTCACTGAGCTGTCATATTCCTCCTCCTCTTCCTCTAAATCAGTCAAACATGGTGTGAGGTTAGTCAAAGAATTAGATTAATTGGCTTATATTTTATCCTATTTACCTCTGAGCTTTTATTCTTTTTTGGTAAGAAAATTTTCAAAAGACAGGGAGAAAGAATGAAGTGGGAAAGAGCCAAGATATAGTGAATTCACGGTTTGAAAATCCATAAAACAAACTTTCCTTGAAAGAGAGAAAGAACAAGAGGGAGAAGTCTTTTTCGAGAAGGGTATTTTACTTTCCATTCTCAAATGCTTACATTAATTCTAATAAATGATTCAATGCCTGCGTATTTCCCTCAGAGTACGTTACTGCAAACTAAAATCAACTTACTTTTGAGTTTAATTGAGCTATTTAGTCTTCATCAGTACCTGTTGATGTTTAACAAGATGAATTTGGTGATTATGGCATACATGACTGGTTTTACTTTTCGTTGACACGTTTTACAACAGTGAAAGATTTGGCTTAAGAATTTGAACACCAGGTCAGGTACCTCTTTGATTGTGAGTTCAAGGTCAATAGTACTTAAACTGAAACCCGAACGCTTTCTGAAAGGGAATGGCGTTTTTAAGTGAATCATTTCTAAAACATTCTTTAAACATTTACCGAAGGCATTAATTTTTGCAGTGATTTAAAAATAATGTTTTCAAAAATATTAAGTAAATTCTATTTTTTAGAACAGTTTTAGCAGAAATTACAGAGATCCCATACACTGTGCCTCCATTTCCCCATAACCTCCCCTGCCTTCAACTCACACTACGGTAGTGTATTTGTTACTATTGATGGACCTACATTGAAAAATCATGATCACCCACAGTCCATAGTTAGGATTCACTCTTGGTGTTGTGCGCTCTGTGGGTTTTGGTAAATGTATAACAACATGTATCCACCATTGTAGTATCGCACAGAACAGTTTTACTAAGTTTTACTGAATTTTACTAAAATGTTACTAAAAATTTGCTCCACCTGTTCATCCCTTCTTCCCAGCTGACCCTGGCAACCACTGATCTTTGTACTCTCCATAGTTTTGCCTTTCCAGAATGTCATATAGTTGGAGTCACACAGTATGTAGCTTTTCGGATTGGCTTCTTTTACTTAACATGTATCCATGGTCCCTTCGTGTCTTTTCCTGGCTTGATAGCTCATTTCTTTGTAGTGCTAAGTAATGTTCCCTCGTCTGCATGTGCCGTAACTTATTTATCTTCACCTGTCAAGGAATTAGTGTTGTAAAATACTTATTCTACTTCATTTGTTTGTTTTTTTTAACAAATAAAGAGAAATAAATAGAAAAAAGATCATTTTTTTGAAAGAGAAACTATTATTTACAGTTTAGATTTACAAAGCCTTTTTTAAAGGATTACCCTATTAAGAACATAGATGATAGTTTACAAATAGCCTAATTTTTAAAATTGATAATTATATCCTAACATTTTTGACAAATTACTCTTGGCTTAAATTATTTTACGTTGGTTAAGCAGTAGTTGTGACAAATATGTTTTGTGCTAGTTCTATAACTTGCCTTCTTAAATACAATATAATCTTGCTCAAACTTTATCAGTTCAGCTAAGTTAAACAAATTTAGTAATGAAATTATAGACTACTCAATTTTTTGGCTGATTTTGCTTTGAGAGTTTTTTTTTAACACTGTAATTAGTTTATTCTTTATTTACTACCATGCCTAAATCATAATCTTAGAGGTACTGAATAGTTTATGATTTTTATAATTTTCCTAAGAAAGAAAGTTACTGTAACAGAAATATTAGCCTTTTGCCGCATGGTTGATTGCGACTTTTCCTGGAGTATTACAACACCCAGGTTTATTTCTAGTTTTTTCTTTTACTAGAAGGTCTATTGAGGGAAGAAAAAGAGGAAAGAAGATTAAAAAATAGGCAGAAAAAGTTGGCACCGTTGCTCCCTCTTGTGCAGCTGTTGGAATGTAATCTGGCACGGGTGGACTGGAAAGGATTTTTGCATTATGCCTCAGAAGCTTTGGGTTGGTTTTCTGTCGTTTGACCAAAAAATTCTATTTATGGGCATCTCTCCTGTCCAAGTGGTCAGATGTGGGGCTCCTGGGTGCCTCAGTTATTTAAGCGTCTGGCCCTTGGTTTCAGCTCAGGTCATGAGCTTACGCACTGCTCACTCACTGCAGTTTGTCACTTCGAGCCCCGCATCGGGCTCTGTGCTGACAATGCTGAACCTGCTTGGGGTTCTCTCCCTCTCCCCCTCCCCTGCTCACACACCTGCACTCTCTCAAGTGATCAAATCTGGATGAAGAACTGTGTATGAGGATATTCATTACAGTGTTCTTTCTTTCTTTCTTTCTTTCTTTCTTTCTTTCTTTCTTTCTTTACAATGCTATTTTAACAGTATGTGATTTGGCACAGTAATTCATTGTCTATGTGTAGAAAAATTACTAAAGCAATATGGTGTACATTCATACATCAGAATCATATGCAGCCACTAAGCAATGTTTTTGAAAAATAATTGAGGGTGTGGGTATTATCTAAGGGCATGCTAAATTTGAAAAAGTACAGAATACAAAATAAAAGGATATGGGCAAATACCGTGATTCGCTAACAACTCGTGGAAATGCTGAGCACAGACAAAAGACTGGGAAGAGATGCGCTGTAATGAAATGGTTATCTCTAGGTAGTGGGATATAGGTGATTTTATTTTGTTTTAACTTCCCAGTGCTTTACAGATTTCTTAAAGTGAGAATGTACATTTGCTAGGAAAAACAACCATTACTAAAAATAAACTTACTAAAATAGGGAATAGTCCCAATAATTCATCACATGTGGCTGTAGCTGTACAGTAATTCCAGAGTATTCCAGCACCTTAGTTTGACAGATCTTCATATTTCTTCCCGCGTAAGACTAAGCTTATCTTTGTTTCTAAAGTTCCTACAAGCTTTATTTTTTTCATTTCTTGTCCAGAGCTCTGCTACGCCCCAACACCCCACTACCCCGTCCATCTTTTTCCACTGGTTTCATACACCACCTTGAAAGGCTCTGGCTTGCAGAAGCTTTCTGGGGTTACACTTCCTTTTCTAGGATGGTATTTTGCTTCCTTCCCAGTTCCAGCAATTCAGTATCTATATGAGAATGGAAAAGGCATTGAGACTTGACCCCTGCTAAGTATGAGCTGTTTTGTTGTGCTGTGATTAGTAGGCTGATGTCCTCCTATTTTATTAGAGCGTTGCAACATATAGTTCTA